CCCTCACCAGCAAGCAGTGTGTTGAAAACTAAATCCGTTGGTCACTCCGAATTCAGGACCTCCCCTCAAACCCGCCTTTCTCAGACCTTGCATGATGGTCCAAGATGGCAATGGCCACGCAGACTTGGAGCATCCTGCCCTGGAAACTCAAGATGGAAGGAGCCTGAATGTGGCTCGAGAGACTGAAAATCCTCCCTCCATCTTGGCTTTTCCACTTCCTGCTACCACAACCTTCTCTTCCTCCCTGAACGAATCTCCAGACTCCACGCCCACAACTGCAGGTCATGCCCCACTGTCAATCATTCCACCTCCACCCTGCACCATGCCTCCAGAACTCCACTCTGGAAGTCCGCCATCCTAGATCAAGGCCCTTCCTCCCCAACACCTGACAAAATGGAAGTGCCCTTTGCCTCACCCTCCAGCAACAATATAACTCCATGGTCAAAGATACTAAACCCAACTGTCACACTATTTCTAATCCTAATGTTTCAGCTCCAAGATATTCTTCCTCCCCAGAAGTCACTTTGGACTCCTCAGAGCCACCTCACCCCTCAACCCCAGAAGATCCCTAGGAAAGGAAGGAGACTGGCAAATAGTTTTGAAATTCTTCATTGCCCCAGTATGTTATGAAAGAAGGGGGCAGAATCCCAGGTATCAGCCACTGGTTTACGAGGAAATCAAGGATCTGTGTAGGGCAGCTAAAGACCATAGGAAGGACTTACCTCGTTTTAATGGCCTAATGAGGGCCATGGTTACGTGTCTTAAGCCCCTATGATTTAAAATGTATTATGACCATGTTGTTATCACCTACAGAATACACCCTGTGGGAAGAGGGATGGAAGTGTTTACTAAATCAACTAATAGCAGATTATGCTAATAATGAGGCAAGGGCGGAATTGACAATCAACCATCTAGCTGGAGAAGGACAACACAGCCTACCAGATGATGAAGCAGCAGGTATCCCAAGAGAAGAATTGGATGATATAAGAGAGGTGGCTTTGAAAGCTTTAATCCAGGTATTGGATGGTAGCACCCCCAGTTTGGACTACCTTGGGTGGCTGCAGCTAAAGCTTTAGGACAATCAGACCATCTTGGGTGCCTGTTAAGTAAGCAAACCAATGCTACCTCCCTCACATTGAGTGGCCTGCTCTCAGACATAGAGACCACCAGACATGCCACCTTGCAGAACAGCGATAGAGTTTTTACTCTGGGCACATGGGCATGGGTGTGTAGACTCTGAGGGCATGTGTTGCATGAACCTCTCCAGCTACAGTGAGTCAATCCACAAGAGTATTCAGGTATTGAAGGAAGGGTTCAAGAAGCTTCAAGTGGAAAACAAAGACTGGTTCAATAAACTCTTCCAATCCAAGGGACTAAATGGTTGGATGATGTCGAGCTAAAACAGGAGTATTCATTCTCTTAGTGGTTGTTGCTGTATTTTTAATTGCCCCATGTTTGTTGGAATGCTTTTAGAAAGTCTTACAAAATTCTTTCAGTTCCATCTTTGTTGTAAACCAGAAAGGGGGAAGATACCCAACCCAGGCTCCTCATGGACTCCTTGGAGTAGACAATTGAAGGCCAGGATAGGACAAAAAACTCTGAGACTCAGTGTGGGAAGGAATATCCTTAAAAGTACCTAAAAGTATTCTTAAATCCTTAAAATACCTTAAAAACCATTATTATCTCAAAGTATTAATGAGTTCCACTGAGTGTCAATACAGAGCTCTCAAGAGATTAATAAAGTAGGTAATTGGGGCCATGATTGCATAAACCTCTCACAGAGTCTGTATCAAAAGAGAAACACCAAGTACCTTAAAATAACTGAAGTATCCTGAAGCATTAATGAGCCCCACTGAGTGTTGTTACTGACAAAGCCTCTCCAGGGACTAATTACAGCAGGTAATTAGAAGCCATGATTGCACAAACCTCTGAGAGACTCCAAGGCAAAAACAAAACCCAAAGTCCTTTGAAAAAGCTACAGAGAGGCTCTCAGCACAGAAGCAGCTCCTGGCAAGGGCAGCGCTGCAGAGAGACAGCTCTTCCCAGGAGCAGCTCCTGTGCACAGCCCAGCAGGGCTGCGGTACTGCCTGCAGCCACCCTGGGCACAGCACAGAGGCACAGAGGGGTTAAAGTCAGCCTGGGATGGGAGCACAGAGCAGAGCTCACTCGGGGCTAACCAGAGCAGAAATCAGCCCAGGTTTGAAACAGTCATTCCCTGGCTGTAAGAAGAGAAGCTGCTGTTCCTGCAGGGATCTCCTGGAGCTGGCACATCCCACAGCTTTGAGGACCTTTCAGGAGGACTCTCAGAACTGCTCTAGGGAAGGGCTGTGGCCCTAGGGCAGGGCTGGCTTTCCCTGCTGCCCCAGCCCAGGCACAGCCCAAGGCAGCTCCTGTTGCCAGGCTCTGCTGCAGGGCTGAGCAGCCGGGGCTGCAGCCAGGGGTGCCCAGGGCTGTCTTGCAGAGCAGGGTCCTGCAGCCCAGGGCGCTGTGCTGGGGCAAGGACTCTGCTGCCTGCCAGGGACAGCTCTCAGCCGGCCCGGGGAGCTGCTCCCAGCGCTGGAGAGAAGCTCTGGGGGGAAGGAGCCACCCTGAGCAGGGCAGGGGCTGCTGCTGAGAGGGGCTGGGTGGGGCAGGGCTGCTCCCAGCTCCAGACCAGCCTGGGCACAGCTCCAGAGGACACTTGCCAAAGAAGGTAAGCCTGGGATTGCTGTAAAGATCAGGAGCTTTCTTGAGAGTGTTTTCAATTTCCTACTTGGAGAAAGATGGGAACATTGGGGTGATGGCAAAAAGATTTTTTCATTTTATACATTTTTGATATATTCATAGCTGTGTAAATTACTGTTATATAGTTATAAATTTACAATCCTTACTTAACACTACTAAATTCTTAATTAACTATATTAAACTACTATTATATACTTATATAATTACAATGTTTAATTAACTACAGTATGTTTCCTAACCTTGCTCTTAGATTTTAGAAAAACAAGCTGACTGTCTAAATACATTCCTGAAATACAGTCTTATCAGTATTATTATCGAAAAGTCTTACTATCAGGAAGAGAACCTAGAAAAACATTTTTTTAATTGACCAGAAGGTGAGCAGTCATAACAAAAAGGGAAGGCAAAGAAGCCTTTGGACCTACTCCAATGGGTTGAAGAAGGGGTGTGTAACTGTGGCAACTGAATCTCCTATTGGCTGTTCCTGTTAAATATCTTAATTAAACAACCTTAATAAATTGTTGAAATCAGGGCCCGGGTGTGCCCCATCCCCACTGGGACACCTGGAAGCTTCCAATTATTGTCTGGTTTTTCCTTCACTGTTCTAACACTGTTGCAAGGGGCTTTTTCTCTTTTGATTAAAAACGACAGGGGAATCAAAGAAGCAGAACAGGAATTGTAATCCCAGAATCACAGAACATTCTGAATTGAAAGGGACACACTGGATCACCAAAGGAATGGGTAAACATTTACAGAGACTCCAGAACCGTAACTTTGGTTGGTCAGTCTCTCTGCTGGGAGCCTCCCAAAGGGCCCTCAGCCACTCCTCAGCCCTGGACAGCAGCAGCATCACCTTTGCAGGGCCCAGCAGGGCTCTCCTGAGCTGCCCTTGCCCAGCTGCACACAGAGCCTGCCCCAGCCAGGGCCCTGCACACAGGCAGGTTTCTTTAGGGCCCCAGACAGGGCACACAGGCTGGGATGGGCTCTGTGAGCGCTGGCAGGGACAAGGCTCCTCTCAGGAGGGAATGTCCAGGCCCAGGGAGATGCTCATTGAAGGAGAGGGGGTGGAAGAGAGCAGTGCTGGGGGCAGGATGAGGGCACTGTTGGTGCCAGGAGGTGCCAGGCACAGCTGGGCACGGGAACACTGTCCTGAGTGCCTGGCTGTTTCTGCCCTGCCCTCTCAGGCACAGCACCACAACATCTTCTCTTGGTTCTGCCCTGCCCTGGTATTGTCACTGTTATCTGCTGCTCTCAGGGAGGCTCTGGCATTTGCAGCAGTTGAGTCAGGCACTGCCCTTGGCATTCCTGCCAGGCAGGGGTGTGTCCATGGGAATGGGGTGTCCAAGCTTCCCTGGCTCCTGTGGGGCTGTGGGCAAAGCAGTCCATGGGAAAGGGGAATGAGCTGAGCCCCCTCCCTGAGATCCTATCATGGGCACAGCCAGGGATCTCCTTGCTGTGCCCTTCCAAGCTCTGAGCTGCCCTCCTGGGTGCAAATCTGTGCCAGAGCCTCTGGGAGTTCCCTGAATGTCCCACGGGGAAGGGCAGAGCTGCCAGAGCTGAGGAAATGCTGTTGGGTTTGCCAAGGGAGTCGTGAGTGTCCTTGGCACAAGGGGGGGCTGAGACCTTGCCCAGAGACCTTTAGGGAGGGTGAGACATTCAGGGATCCCTCTGCTCTGGGCAGGCTCTGGTTTATCCCAGGGTGACCCAGGAGTGTGATTGTGCTCTGATTGCAGCCAAAGGTGCAAAGGCAGTTGGGAACAAGCCCATACAGCCCCTCACCTTTCCTCAGCCACAGGGAATCCTTTGCCTCTCACATCTCTCAGTGGCAAACTCTGAGTGCAGCAGAAATGCTGGGGATTTCTGACCTCAGAGAGCCAGGAACAATGTGTGGGTAGGAAAACAATTCCTTAAACCAGCTCCTGCCATCCATGGCCAGTAGAATTGGGAGAGCAGATGCTACCAAGCCTGTCTTCATTAGGAGTGATTCCCTTGAAAAATGCTGAATATCCAGCTTTGTCCCTCTGCCAAATGGCCACAAATCCAGGGCAGTGGGGCAGGGATGGTTCCTCAAGAGCCCTGGCTGCTCCTGGCACACTCAGCCAGCAACACCGGAGCTCAGGCAGGGATCTGGGTGAAGGTTTTTCTAGAGCAGGAACAAGGGTGGGTGAGTCCCAGTGGAACAGTCTGCAGAGAACGGGCCAGGTTTGGCTCAAAGCAGCCTCTCCTGACTTGTCACTGTCCTTTCTCCATGAACAGGTCCCCATGTGCAGGCACAGCAAATGTCCAACAGCAGCTCCATCAGGCACTTCCTCCTGCTGGCATTGGCAGACATGTGGCAGCTGCAGCTCCTGCACTTCTGCCTCTTGCTGGGCATCTCCCTGGCTGCCCTCCTGGGCAACGGCCTCATCATCAGCGCCGTAGCCTGCGGCCACCACCTGCACACGCCCATGTTCTTCTTCCTGCTCAACCTGGCCCTCAGTGACCTGGGCTCCATCTGCACCACTGTCCCCAAAGCCATGCATAATTCTCTCTGGGACACCAGAAATATCTCCTACACAGGATGTGCTGCTCAGCTCTTTTTCTTTCTGTTCTTCATCTCAACGGAGTATTCCCTCCTGACTGTCATGTGCTATGACCGCTACGTGTCCATCTGCAAACCCCTGCACTACGGGACCCTCCTGGGCAGCAGAGCTTGTGCCCACATGGCAGCAGCTGCCTGGGCCAGCGCCTTTCTCAATGCTCTCGTGCACACAGCCAATACATTTTCCCTGTCCCTGTGCCATGGCAATGACCTGGGCCAGTTCTTCTGTGAACTCCCCCAGATCCTCAAGCTCTCCTGCTCCAAATCCCACCTCAGAGAACTTGGGCCCACTGCAGTTAGTGCCTGTTTGGTACTTGGTTGTTTTGTGTTCATTGTTTTCTCCTATGTGCAGATCTTCAGGGCTGTGCTGAGGATCCCCTCTGAGCAAGGACGGCACAAAGCCTTTTCCACCTGCCTCCCTCACCTGGTCGTGGTCTCCTTGTTTGTCAGCACTGTCATGTTTGCCTACCTGAAGCCCCCCTTCATCTCCTCCCCATCCCTGGATCTGTCAGTGACCGTTCTGTACTCGGTGGTGCCTCCAGCCCTGAACCCCCTCATCTACAGCCTGAGGAACCAGGAGCTCAAGGCTGCAGTGTGGAGACTGATGACTGGATGCATTCAGGAACATTAAACTGCTGGCCAATTTCTGCAAATCACTTGTAATAAAAGTCATCTTTGATATTTTTGTGGGTTTCCTTTTGGAGGTTCTTTTTCTTTGTTTTACTTTTTTTCATACTGTTCACATGAAAAGGCATTGTTTGTGTCATTTTGTTTTTCTCCACCTTCCCTGTGGTCACAGACTGTGTCAATGAGAGGCTACGCTCTCGGTGGCTTTAAAGGAATGAAAAGATCTCCCAGCAAAGTTTTTTGCAGAGATGCCCTTTAGCTGCCTTCTCTGGAGCTGCAGCAGCAATGTCTGTGTGCAGAGCTGGGGCAGATCAGTGCTGGCACAGCAGCTGTGCCCAGCAGCAGCAGCACTTGGTGCTGCCAGTGCTGCTGCCGTGGCCCTGCCCCACTGCCCTGGTGGCCCTGGTGTTGCTGTAGGGCCTGAGTGCTCCCAGGGCCGGACACAGTCCTGGGGGTGCAGTGCCGGGGCTGCAGCAGGGACAGGCCAAGTAATATCAATAATTTGTAATATAAATAACCTTTGATAGTTCTTTTGGATTTGTTCTTTTTTTCCCTGTGTTTTAGTTTTTTATATTGTCCACAAAGGAAAACCATTGTTTGTGCCATTTCTCATTTGGTTTCTCTGCCCCTTCCCTGTGCCCACAGACTCTGTCAATGAGGGGCTGTGCTCTTGGAGTCTTTAAAGGAGCTAAAGGATCTCCCAGCAAAGTTTTCTGCAGTGATCCATTTGTGTTCCCTATTCTGGAGCTGCAGCAGTAATGTCTGCATTCAGAGCTGGGGCCAGATCAATGCTGTGTACATCAGCTCTGGTCCTGCTGGCGACACCATTCCTGATCCAGGCCAGGAGCCATTGGCCTTCTTGCCCACCTGGGCACACTGCTGCCTCATGCCCAGCCTGCTGTCCATCAGTCCCTGCAGGTCCCTTTCTGCCTGCCTGCTGTCCAGCCACTCTGTCCCCAGTCTGTACTGCTGCAGGGGTTGTTGTGGTCAAAGTGCAGGACCCGGCACTTGGACTTGTTAAACCTCACCTTGTTGGATCACACATCCTTGTTAAACCACAACTGGATCCAGCCTGTCCAGGGCCATGTGCAGAGCCCTCCTACCTCCATCCTCCATCAGATCCAAACTCACACCCAGTTTGGTGTCATCTGCAGATTTGCTGATGTTGGAAACAATCCCCTCATCCAGACCATTCCATGCAGATATTGAAATCCATGCTGGCTAGCTCTGACCCTTCGGCCATCCTGTAGGTGCCCTGTGATGGCACTCAAGCTGATCTGTTCCATAACCTTGCCGGGCACCCAGGTCAGGCTGACAGGCCTGGAGTTCCCCAGCTCCTCCTTCCAGCCCTTCTTGGGGATAGGCTCACATTGGCACCTCCAGTCCCCTGGGACCTCCCTGCTGAGCCAGCACTGATGGTAAATGATGGAGAGCAGCTTGGGGAGCTCATCCACAGCTCCCTCATCCCCCTGGGATGGATCCCATCCAATCCCATACACCTGTGAGCATCTGAGTGGCTCAGCAGGTCACCAACTCCTTCCTCCTGGATTACAGGGAGTGTTCTAGTCCCTGTGCCCATCTACCAGCTCAGCAGAGCACTTGTCCTGAGGACAGCCTGTCCTAATATCAAAAATTGAGAGAAGCAAGATGTTAAGTACCTCTGCCTTCTCCTTATCTTTAGTTACTATATTCCCCACGGCATTCAATAAAGAGTAGAGGTTCTCCTTATCCCATGTTTTGCTAATAATTTAATTGTGGAAACATTGTCTATTTTTTTTTTCATGGAAGTGGTCAGGTTAAACTCTAATTGAGTTTTCACCTCTTAACTTTTTTTCTGCATGACTTCACAACATCCTTAAACATTTCCTAAGCTGCTTGACCTTCTGTCCAAAGTTGATGCACCTCTTTTCCCACAAAATCTCCACGGCCAGCCAGGCCAGTCATTTTCCTCACTAGCTCATCTTTTGCCACACTGGGACAGGCTGCTCCTTCCCCCTTAAAATTACTTCCTTGAAATGTGCCCATCCTTCCTGGACCCCTTTGTTTTTAAGGGATGTTTTCCTTAAAAAAAATCAGTGCCTGCTTCAGTACTCCCCAAATCTGCATCCTAAATAAGCCAAAGTCTGCCCTTCCTAATTCCAGTGTAGAAGTTTTGTTGCTGCCCCTCCTTCTTTCCCAGAACATTGAAAACTTGATTATTTCATGGTCACTGCACTCCAGGCAACCTCTGAGCCCCAAATCTGCCACCAGCCCTTCTCTGTTTGTGAACAGCAGGAGACAGAGCTTTCCTTGGCAGTGAGAGTGTTACCAAAAATTTGGTAAAAAAGAAAACTTCTTAACCCCAATGTAGTATTAAGAAGCAGCATTCTTTATTCAGCTGGATGCATGGGGGAGAGCTCCTCCCAAAGCTATGCAGACTGAGCACAGGAAAGTTTCTGTTTATATTTTGCACACATATTCATTGATTGTTCTGGACTAAACATATGATATAATTTCCCTGAAATCATGAACATATTTCCCCTCCCCTTTTGCATGCATTCTTCTGTCCTGGGGGTCTCTCTGGTGGTCCCTGGTGGTCGTGGACCCCAATGTTCCCGTGGGCCTGGCAGACCTGGCAGGACACTGAGGCTGCTGAACTTCCAGTTGCCCTTCTCACACAATGGGCATTGTGTGGCTTCCATAGGCCTGGAATTTCGGAGAACAAGCTCCAGGTGTGAGTTCACCTGGTGTAGACAATTTATCATCTGGTAGCATGAGGTCACAGAGTGGGCTATGACATCACAGAGTGCAGTATGTAAGGTTATTGAGCAGGTATGACATCATAGACATCATCACAGAGCAGATTGTGACACCACAGGGCAGAGATCTGACATCACAGAGCAGAATATGACATCACAGAATTGGCTGTGATATCAGAGACCAGTTGATATCAGAGACCACTGTGACATTAGAGAATGGGCTGTGACATCACAGAGCAGTCTGTGACATCCCAGAGGGGCTGTGTGACATCCCAGCAGGGCTGTGTCAGGTCACTGGGTTGGTCACTCTGCCCCAGCTCCCCTCACAGTTTCTCCCAACAAGTCCAATGCTGTTCATGCCCAGCAGGGTCCATGTCCCCCGGGATCCCCCCGGCCCATCTGGAGCCACAGCCTCCACCAAAGGATGTTCCACAGGATCCACCCCAGAGCCTGACATGGGGACAAGGGGCTAGGGCTGTGTGACCAGGACATGAAGGACAGGGATTATCCAGGTCACCGTGGCCTGGGTTGGGTTCCCCAGGGCAGGAAAGATGTCTGGCAGCTGGAGCAGGGTCTGGGAAGGACCTCCAAGGTGGGGCTGGAGCCCTTGGGCTGTGAGCAGAGGCTGAGGGAGCTGGGCTTGTCCAGCCCAGAGCAGGGAAGGCTGAGGGGCTCCTCATCTCAGCCTGGCAGTGCCAGCCAGGAGGGGATGGAGAACACAGAGCCAGGCTCTTCACCGGGGGGCCTGGTGGGAGACAAAAGCCAATGGGTGGAAGGGGAAAGAGGGGAGATCAGCCAGGACAGGAGGAGATGAAATGAGTCAGGCTGGTTTTTGCATTTCCTCAACACAAAAAGCAGCCTGACCTCCCTTCTCCATCCACCACTGGCAGCTTTCCAAATCAGGAATTGTTTGAGCTATTTTGCCCCCGCTCCAGGTTAAGCATTCTGATACAAGAACTTAATTATGTTTATATCTATCACAGAACCACGTTGTGAGCCCAGGGCAGGACCTGGCCCTTGGCCTTGGTGAACCTCATCCAGCTGTCCTGGGCCCATGGCTCCAGCCTGTCCAGATCCCTCTGCAGAGCTTCCTGCCCTCCAGCCATACTCCCCCCAGCTTGGGCTCACCTGGGAACTGACTGAGGGTGCCCTTGATGGCCTCATCCAGATCAGCAATAAAGAGATTTCACTGACCTGGCCCCAATCCTGAGCCCTGGGGACAGCCCTGGATGCGACTCCATTCCTCAGCTGCTCTGAGTGCCAGGGGTTGGGTGAGGAAAATGGTGGGGAGGGGGTAGTGACAAAGTGTGATTGATTGTCAGCCACAAAGGGTCTTGATTTTCATATCTGTTCAAACTGCATTAGGAGGTGCTGGGAATCAATATCCACTGGGGATTGCTGATATCAATCTATAAAGAAGAAAATAAACCAGGACAAAACAGTTCTCTCTGCATTGTTTTCAATATGGTATATTCACTTTGAAGAGACTTATGAAATCTGTCTAACCACAGAAGAATTGAAAACTTAGATTATTCCCATGGACTTTTCTTGTTTTGGGTCTTTTGAACAAATATTTATGATCTTTTCTCAATTCCTGAAGTGAAAAGCTCAAGGAAGAAGAGGCCCTGGAGTAGGAAAATTCATCATCAGCCTCCAAGCGGCTGAGGATCCATCAGAGCAGCAATGAACAGAAATGGGCACAGCTTTGTGG